AAAAAGGACCTTCGCGGGCGACGTTTTCGGGACGATTTTGAGTTACAAGAAGCTGTTTGACCCATTTTGAGGATAAACCGAATGAATATTTTTTTAAAGGAATTGAATTGTTAATTAAACGTTGTAAGAAGTGCATTGAGGTTAAGGGAGATTACATTGAAAAATAATAAAAACTTGTTGTTGTACTTTGCCTCCTTCATTGTCAGGCCGGGAATTATTGGCGCTTACCTCGTACATATATAAACTTAAATCTAAATGAACACGAATTTAAACAGACAGGGATGCATCCTGAAAAAAAAACTGACATAAGAAAAAAATAATGCATCCATTTCCACTTTTAATAATTACTGCGCAAATTAATTTGACAGAAAGATACTTCTAATAGATGCAACAGAGCAATTAAGAAGATCTATATCGCCCCCTTAGTGCAACAACTAGATAACTTGTAATTTATAGTTTTGAGAAAATCCAGTTTAAAGATTCAAAACTCCAAAAAAATACACCTGTTAAGTAATCAAAAATATTTAATATCTATACAGATATGTTGCATATCAAATTATGATTTGTTAATTTTGGAAACAATTAGGTTTTATATCTTTGCAGAATTTAATCAAAAACTTGAGATATCTAGTTGTTGCTGAAAAAAGAGTAAAGTTATCTATTTATAATCACTAACAATGAAACGCAAATCACCTAATAAATACAACTTTATTTTGAATAAAAAATTAACAAGATTAGTTTAAATAAAACCCAAAAGATTCCACCCTGGATACAACTTAATTGTCAATATCAATGATGTCAGTTTGGGAATCTTCCATGTTTTAAGGCCATTGGCGTTGGTCTCCTTGGAATGGAAGACTTTCAAAAATGCTTTTATACTCGCTAGAGAGTATAAAAGTATAAAAGACATAAGGTCGTTATGTTTTTTTTAAGTGGAAATTGACTTTGATACAAAGGCTCTTGGGTATTATTTGAAGACGACATACGTGTTTTACTTTTAAAATTTAGACGTCTAAACTCCCCATCAAAATCTTCTATAAAATTAATAATAGATTACGTCGATTTTGAAAAATTCAACCAGCATAATTTCTGCCCACTAACCAAGTCATGGCTTTTAAAAAAATACCGTAAAAACAATTTTGCAGCACAGAAACAAAGCTGTTGTTTCAAGCACACAACTAGATATCTCATAGCGACCAAGAAGGTGCCGGCAGATAACTCAATAATACCAGTGCTAAAACTAGATATCTCAAGATGTCTAGTTATAAAATGTATATATTGGGAGTTATCTGTTTTTAGTCACTCTTCAAAAATAAGTTTGGTTGCTCGTACATGATATCCAGTTGTTGCATTGAAAAGAGCATGACAAATAGGACAGATTAAACTGGATAACTCAAAATGCATAAATTTCGAGTTATCTAGTTGTTGCACTAAGGGGGCGATATCATCTTCAATGTTCGAATAGTTTAGGATAATTTGAAATAAAGGCGATGCTTTATATATGTTAGTTCTATGTGCTTGTTGATAGAATAGTTGATTTCTTCGGGAATTAACTCTAGGGACTTGAAAGTTTAACATTTCCAAACATGAAGTACAATCCACCTTGTTATTTAATAACTGGAACAGAAATATCACTGCGAGTGCATTGCTCTTCTTTTTAAAAGACTACATGTATTGAAACGGTTTAAAGAATAACTTTGAGGAAGGTCTCTTAAGAGATAGGTACCATCACTTAAAAGATAAGCTGATTTAAAAAATCTTCGTTGAACTCTGTTTTTGAAATCTTACCAAAATTAGCAAAGGATTATTATTTTTTGCAAAGGATATAATTTTATTTATAATTTTAAATTTTATTGTTGAGGATGTCACATTAAATTTTAAATATGATTATGAAATTAGATAATTTTTGGAATAGTTTGAAAACTCGGAAACAAATCTCAAAAATCCCCCTACGAATTATTAAGACCATCCCTGAACTTCAAAAGTAAAAACAAATAATTGGAGATTCGAATTCAGACATCTTTGTTCTCTAGACAAAATGTCCTTACCTATAGACCAGGGGTTCCCAAAATTTTTGAATATTCTTAATTATTTAGAAAAACATTGAAAAAAAAAACTGTAGCTATACTCGACGCGCCGAGATTCAACAATAAAATTGCATCATCTACACGTGTTGATGACTTCGTCCTCGAAACCTCCTTTGACCAAGTTATAACCAGGAGCAGGTTTTTGTAAATTATTTTTGGAGATGAACGTTGCATATTTGTAATTATACTTTTAGATGGTTTTAATGTTTTCAATATATCTCTTTCTTCTTATTCTTATAGAATAGTACAAAAGCTATTCCAAATGGGTTCATTAAACAGACTAGTCGATATCAAACAAAAGTACCTTTACTCTCATATTCCTTGTACATTTCAACGTCCTATTTTCAGCAAATTTTAACCCAAATCTATGGTTTTATAGATTAAAACTTGCATACAAGTATTCAGAACAATATTTCCCAGCTATATCGACACCAGCAGTCAGTTTCGAGGTCTATTTTAAATTCTAGTCACTGTGAACAGCTCATTCCCATAAGACGCCACTGCTCTTAAGTTATAATTATGAAACTATAATACAGCTCAAGATAAATAGATAGATATAAATGCAAAGTAAGAATAGTGCCTAAGCTAAGTCAATACTGAAATAATCTTATTGAAACATAAAAATCGAAAAGCATCTCACAAGCTCCCCCACGTTAAAATACCGTAACTCATTAGGCTATAGAAGTTTGAAAAATAAAAGGTTATTATTATCAACCCTCGTAATATTTCATTAATTATGTTGTTTGAAAAACAACCTTGTTTTATTTATTTTCCAAATTATTGTTTTTTTTATTTATTTACACAGGAAGGATGATGAACAATGGTTATAATAAGGCCTAAGTACTATACGGAATTTATCTCAGTCTCTCAGTTTTGCACATACAGAGCATAACCTTATATAAAATTAAATTGTTATTAATTAATTGAAGTTTCTATCTAGTAAATTTTCTACCACTTTTGTGGTTGTTTCCGGTTAATGATTCTAAACGATAGTAATTTATTTCCTATGTTTTTGGTGTAGCCATTTCACGCTCGTTAGATTCAAAACTTTCACTATTAATCTTTAGCGGTAAAAAATAGAATAAAAACAAGTTATTACTTTATCGGCAAATGTGTGATTGGTTTCTTTATTGTTTCAACAATAATTGTACTTTTTTTCTCAAAATATATCAAATTAATTATATTATTACATAAATTCATAGATATGTTTTAAGTAGAAATAATTATAACTCATAATAATAACCCATTTAGAAATAAATGAAGCTAAATATTGTGGTTATGAGAACTTTTGAATTGCTATTTAAATGTAGAATAGAATAATTACCTAATTTATTTGTGGAAGATATTGAATTATTGGTTGTAAACATTCCGAATCTTTTTCATTCATTCATCCATTCCTTTACTAAACAAAGAAGATGGAAGTCCCTGCCAAAATAATTTTGAAACGGCTGAACTTTTAGCTAATACCTTTACAAAAGTTTTTACCAATGAACCTCCCCAGGATCAGTTACCAAATATCTCACCCGAAAGAATACCTTCTTCTTTAGAACGGCTCCATTTTACTCCTGAAATTGTCACCTTTTAAAATTAAAAAACAACTCCTCTTCGGGTCTAGATCAAATATCTTCTCTATTTTTAAAAAAAATGCTCTAATACCATATCAGTTCCTTAATCTATTATAATGTCTTTGCCTTTTAATACACACACATTACTCTCTATCTGGAAAACAGCTTCTGTAACACCCATTTTCAAGAAAGGAAACAAACTAGACTAATAACTACCGCCCAAACAGCCTCACACCCATAATCTGTAAAGTTATGGAATGCATAATAACAGAGCACGTTTCTCAGTTTCTCTTATCGGAAGAAATTATTCCCAAACAGCAACATGGATTTGTAAAAGTTCGATCAACCATGACCAATTTGCTTTGGTGTGTAAATGAGTGGACAGTTTCATTAAACAGGAAAAACCTATAGACATTATTTACCTGGATTTTGCGAAACGAAGATTACTACATACGTTAGAACACCTTGGTATACGTGGTGATTTACTTAAATGGATCGAGTCATTCTTAACTGATAGAAAGTACTGTGTTAAAGTTGGAAATTTGCATTCACTTGAAAGACCAGTCTTGAGTGGGTTTCCTCAGGGATCAGTTCTGAGTCCACTCTTATTTATAATATATACCAGTGACCTTCAATTCCATATCAAGTGCAACAATATTTTTTACGCAGATGACACTAAAATATTTAGTGGTCCGTCTTTGAATTTCCAACAGCTACAAGATGACCTTGGCTCCATCTATAACTGGTGATCAGATTGGATGCTACCTTTAAATACAAATAAAAATGTAGTTCTCCATATTGGTAAAAATAATCCTCGTCATAATTATTTTCTAAACGATCATACGTTAAATAAAGTTAAATCTTATAATGATCTAGATGTTATAATTACTGAAAATCTCAGCTGGTCTGAGCACGTTATTCAAGTGTCAAAAAAGGCGAACACGAAAATGTACTTATTAAATAAAACATTCGCAAATGTGTCTTTTCAAAATTCGATCCGGCTGTATAAATTATACATTCGTCCGATCATCGAGTACTGCGGAGCTCTGTGGTGTCCGGAACTAGTGCGGGATAAAAATATTCTTGAAAATGTGCAGCGCCGGTCAACCAGATTATTTTTCGGACGTATGAGACCTAATTACGCAGAGAGACTACATATGGCTGAACTACAAACGTTTGAAAATCGCCCTTGCTTTTATCAAATTATAATAATAATCTTTTGTTTTCTCTATTTCATTTGTTATTCTGTACACCAGATCCAATTTAGTGATCTGGTACTATATTTTTACTGTCTATGATCAAAAATTGATATACCTGACCCATTTTTAACACTTTCTTTTTTGTACAGATGAAGTCGGTTGTTTCAATCTACCCCACAAGAACTCACCATTACAAAAAATCCCCGAAGACCCTCAGGTGCTTAACACGAAATTTTACCTCTTCACCAGAGAAACCGATTTTTCAAAACCGCAAGTTCTATACTACGAAGATAAGGGTAGAAGCATTAATGGATCTTCTTTTGATCCATCGAAACCTTTGAAGATTATCGTACATGGGTATACCAGCAAATGGAACGAAAAGGGTTCCATGATTATTACCAATGCTTACTTAAAACTGGTAAGTTATTAAAAATGGTACGTTATTAAAAATGGTAAGGTTTTAAAAATAATAAGTTATTAAACTGTGGGTCAATAAAAATGATAATTAAAAACAGTGATGAAAAATGGTAAATATTTAAAAAAATCTTTAGATTTGAAAATTACAGGAACAAATTCAAAGTGTTAAATTAAAAATGAATGAATGAATGAAAGAAATTGTTAATTAGCATCTTAATGAGTATTACTAAAACATTTACTCGTTGAATTTAAGATTGCTCTAAAAAGGATGTTTAAAAAGTGTATTTTATTTTGTATTGTTTTTTCGATGCACACTGTATAAAAAAATAGTTAGGTTCATTAAATTCAAGTGAAAGTGTCGCTTAATCAATCGAGTCACTTAGTAAATAATAAAAAATAAAGCTAACAACGTTCATCCAACTGTAAATTAAATTATATAATCAATTATTGGTCTTGATGATACTCGAGGTCAAATTTTAAGAAAAAAAATATCGCAATATGGGTAAGTTGCGCTCATTTTTGGAAGGCAAACTATAAATACCTGTATAGTGACCTCTATTTAGTTGATTTTTAATTGTGAAATTTATTTTTAAATATTTGCGTATACATTTATTATTTATCTAAGGATCCTACCCGTATTGCGATACATTTGTTATGCTGTATTATATGATTGGAAAAATAAATTAGGAATTTTTCGATGTATTTATTAATTTTTATAGTAGATAAAGATAATAAGGTCGCAGAAAAAATGTAATACTCAACATATCGAAAGCCACAAGACAGGACCTCGTAAGTCGCAAAATGAATATTTTTCAGTAGATGAAAAAACGATTTACAAGTGTATTAACAATGCATTTTACTCTAATGTTTTCTGTAATTAAATTGTAACACTTCCCCTATACAGTAGATGGAGCGAAATGTTTTAAATGAGATTATCATAAAATTTAATTTTCAGTGGAAATGTTAGTTACGAGGGCCTGCGTTGTGGTCCGTTGTGACAGCAACCCTAAAAGTCATAAAGGTGTTTTAGATTTATTTTTATATATTTTTATATATATTTTATTTTTATATATATTTTTATATATTTTTATATATTTTTATATATTTTTATATATTTTTATATATTTTTATATATTTTTATATATTTTTATATATTTTTATATATTTTTATATATTTTTATATATTTTTATATATTTTTATATATTTTTATATATTTTTATATATTTTTATATATTTTTATATATTTTTATATATTTTTATATATTTTTATATATTTTTATATATTTTTATATATTTTTATATATTTTTATATATTTTTATATATTTTTATATATTTTTATATATTTTTATATATTTTTATATATTTTTATATATTTTTATATATTTTTATATATTTTTATATATTTTTATATATTTTTATATATTTTTATATATTTTTATATATTTTTATATATTTTTATATATTTTTATATATTTTTATATATTTTTATATATTTTTATATATTTTTATATATTTTTATATATTTTTATATATTTTTATATATTTTTATATATTTTTATATATTTTTATATATTTTTATATATTTTTATATATTTTTATATATTTTTATATATTTTTATATATTTTTATATATTTTTATATATTTTTATATATTTTTATATATTTTTATATATTTTTATATATTTTTATATATTTTTATATATTTTTATATATTTTTATATATTTTTATATATTTTTATATATTTTTATATATTTTTATATATTTTTTATATATTTTTATATATTTTTATATATTTTTATATATTTTTATATATTTTAATATATTTTTATATATTTTTATATATTTTTATATATTTTTATATATTTTTATATATTTTAATATATTTTTATATATTTTTATATATTTTTATATATTTTTATATATTTTTATATATTTTTATATATTTTTATATATTTTTATATATTTTTATATATTTTTATATATTTTTATATATTTTTATATATTTTTATATATTTTTATATATTTTTATATATTTTTATATATTTTTATATATTTTTATATATTTTTATATATTTTTATATATTTTTATATATTTTTATATATTTTTATATATTTTTATATATTTTTATATATTTTTATATATTTTTATATATTTTTATATATTTTTATATATTTATTTTTATATATTTTTATATATTTTTATATATTTTTATATATTTTTATATATTTTTATATATTTTTATATATTTTTATATATTTTTATATATTTTTATATATTTTTTATATATTTTTATATATTTTTATATATTTTTATATATTTTTATATATTATTTTTATATATTTTTATATATTATTTTTATATATTTTTATATATTTTTATATATTTTTATATATTTTTATATATTTTTGTATATTTTTATATATTTTTATATATTTTTATATATTTTTATATATTTTTATATATTTTTATATATTTTTATATATTTATTTATATTTTATATATTTTTATATATTTTTATATATTTTTATATATTTTTTATATATTTTTATATATTTTTATATATTTTTATATATTTTTATATATTTTTATATATTTTTATATATTTTTATATATTTTTATATATTTTTATATATTTTTATATATTTTTATATATTTTTATATATTTTTATATATTTTTATATATTTTTATATATTTTTATATATTTTTATATATTTTTATATATTTTTATATATTTTTATATATTTTTATATATTTTTATATATTTTTATATATTTTTATATATTTTTATATATTTTTATATATTTTTATATATTTTTATATATTTTTATATATTTTTATATATTTTTATATATTTTTATATATTTTTACATACTTTTATATATTTGTATGTGTATTAATTCTAGTACGATTGCAACGTGATACTGATGGACTGGCACATAGGCGCGCGCGGTCCAAATTACCCAGTAGCGGCCGCTAATACGGAATTGGTAGGAAGACAATTGGGAATATTATTAACGAATATGGTGAGAAATGGATTAGATGCCAGAAAAATCCATTTAATCGGATTCTCGCTTGGTGCGCACGTGTGTGGTACTGCATCTGAAAGCCTCAAGAACAAGGGGCATCTTTTGGGGCGAATTACAGGTAACTACATTATCGACACATCCATTTTTTTTATAGAGGATCTTTATTCAGCTAAATTATGAACGAAATCTTCTAAAACCTCTTTAATTATTAAATTTTCTTGCATTTCTCATTTATTAGCATCAAAAGAGAGCCTTTGGGGACCTAATTCTATTGTTGATCTAATAGTACTGTACGCTGTTTGTCAGATAAGTGCCATCCATGTTTCTCGCCAGATTTAACTAATTGTAAATTCTGATTTTTTTATAAATTCCGAAAAAAAGGAAAATCGACACAAAAATTTTAAATTTGCTTTTGTTTTAAATGTTCCAGGACTTGATCCGGCTAGTCCGTTATTTAGAAACAATTATTTGAGAGAAAAATACAAAAAATTGGACAGAAGTGACGCCAAATTGGTGGATGTTGTACATACTGATTCAAGTCCAGTAAGTAATTTAACAGAAAAGATTGTTTATTTTTAAACATACTGATAAAGAAAATTAAACACAATGAATCGGCTAAAATATAATGGGACTATGCGGGAAACAAACAAAAATCATTAATACGTATGCCTCCTACCACTCTCCCTTGCGCTTGTCTCTTAGTGTTATAACATAAAAGAAATTTCAATGAAAATCAAATAATTTGTTTACAGAAAAAGTTAAAATTAAATCAAAAGACTCACCATTTGAAGCCGTTTATTCCTCCTAAAACAATATATATAAAAATTTATTAAATATTAAAATTAATCATAAATTCAAAAAAAAATCAAGGATTGAGTAAAAGAATATTTTTGATTATGCCCAGAACAAAATCAAAAATAAACTTCGCTCTATATTTTCAAAATTTAATATTTTAATTTTATTTATATATCATATATTTTACAAGGCGATGAAATAAAGGATTCTGAATAGAAACACGAAAGTGAATACATGTAGTTTCATTAACTACCATCATCCTAATTATCATTATTATTATTATTATTATAATATAGTGTAATAATTTGTTTAAAAGAAAAATTCAATTTAAATCAAAATACTCACCATTTGAAGCCCCTCATGCCTCTCTATCACATTTCCAAGTATTTATCTCCGCTTCTCCACAATATCCATTATTTCCAGTACATTTTCCCGAATATAAGGCGTCCGAAAATTCTTCTACTCCCGACGATACTACTGATAATCATATCATGTTCAATTCTATATCAACCCTTTGATACTTAGATGTATCTTAGAGCAATACATCTACAGCCTTGTCCATTTGATCCTGGAAGGTACATCCAAAGACAATATAATTTAAATTAAAGTTTTACATTAAAATCAGAGGACATACATTCTAAGATGAAACGTCTTTATTGTCAGAGGTGAAATGAACATGAACTCAAACCATTGATATCGCGCTACTGATTAACTTTCGAAACATTTGCGGCGATTTAAATGTTGTTACGGAAGTTCGCTGAAAAGAAAAATAACAATTAGTGGGAAATTTTTAAAATATCACAAGGGAAGGATATTTCAGTACCTTAGAAAATAGTGTAACTTTGTTATACCTAGAGTCTACAATTTTTAATACATTAAAATGTTTTTAAAAAATAAGATGTGTAAAAAATGCAAATATGTTCCTTTATTGAATTATTTACATAAATTATAAGAACTACGTTATTTTCTCTAAAAATATTACAGAAAGCTAAACTGATTTTGAAAGATACTTAAAATAATATTATAATATTTTGGGTATTCTATTTAAAATAACGGAGTTTTTAATTCAAACTTGGGGTAGCAATGTTAATGGATTAAAGGTGGGAAAATGAAAGAAAACAGGTCCTTTATATATCACAAAGAAATTTGTATTTAAACGGCGACCGGTTTGTTCACTTCATCATCACGCACACCTAGTGGGTAAGACAAAAGGGGGATTGATGAGTTTTAAGTTGTTAGAAAAAATTAAAAAATGATGGAATGTTGATTTAATTTAAGTGAAATTAACAAAACTAATCTACTAATATTTATTTAGTGTGAATAAATAAATAAATATTATTATTATATAATAACCTAAATTTGATATGGATTACTTTCCAAAAAATTTAAATTATTTTTAAATTGTTGAGTTTTTTTAATATGCATCTCATAGATTAAAAAAAAAAACAATAATAGTTTTGGCTCTACATTACTGATGGCCCACCCTATATATACTTTTTTAAACCCTTACATTTTTTAAAAGAACAAAATTGATTTGCTACACAACTAAAAATGTCTCACCCTGTCCCATTGAAAAAAAAATTATGTTGATATGTATTATAATACTTTCCTGGAAAACCCTGTATACTTGAAATTATTTTTAAATTGTTGTCTTTTTTAATATACATTTCGCAGTGGAAACAGATTTAAAAATATTAATACATTTTTAAAAAAGAGAAAAGAACATTTTCTGCAGATCTAACAATGGCTTCCATTTAAAAAAACTAACTTTCCTGGAAAACCCCGTATAATTGAAATTATTTTTAAATTAAAGAAAAATATTCCTATTCTCAAATGTGACCAAATACAAATAATAAAGGAAAAAGTGAAAATCTCAAAGACCATGTCACACAAACAACGAGCGATCATTTCCGTCTTGAAAACAACTACTCCCTTGGCTAATACTACAACAGGCACTGCATTAAATCAAAAGGTGAATAGCAGAGATAAAAAAAAATGATATCACTCTAACTAGATTTCATTAGAGACTGAAGTCGAGATCATCTAATCAGGGGCGGCTCGTGACCAAAATTTTGGGGTTTCACAGTAGCAGAGTATAGTACCCTGTACAGATATTGGTAAAAAAATGTCAGTGTTTTAGAAAGGTATATTATAAACTTTCTAAAACACTGAAAGTTTTTTCATACATCTGTACTGATACCTATATTCTGTCACTGTGAACCACTCCACGAGCCGCAACTGCATCTAATGCTTGCTGATGAGTCTTAAAAAAGACGAAACCGGTCCAAGTATGAATTTCTCCTTGGGTAGCAAAATCAAAGTTAGAGTGTTGAAAAGTATTTTCTATCTCTGCTATTCACTTTTTTGATATAATGCAGTTCCTGGTGTGGCATTAGCCAGGGTAGTAGTTGTTTTCAAGAGGGAAATGATAGCTCATTGTTTGCCTGACACGGTCTTTGAGATTTTCTCTTTTTCCTTTTTTTAAAATCCTACATTTTCAAAAAGGATAAAGAACATTTTCTGCATATTTAAAAATGGCTCCCATTTTAAAAACCAAACTTTATGTAGAAAATCCTGTAAAATTTAAATTATTTTTAAATTTTTGCCTTTTCTAATATACAGGGTGTCTGTAAAAGGTCTTTACAAAAACATACCACATATTCCTTAGACCAAAATAAGTCGATTTAAGTAAAATTACCTTAGTACAAAGTTGCTTCGTTCGGGCTCCAGAGGGCCTTGAAGTTTCAATTTTTAAATCGTTTTTTCCATATAAATTTAAAACGGCATATGCGATTTTGCTGAAATTTGGTATATTGGTAGAGTTTTATGTGGCAAAAAAATGATATTAACATTTTGTCCGATTTTTTAAATAATTGCACCTTTAAAAATTCTACGCCAATGGAAGAAAAGGAGTTTGAGTATGAAATTTAGATTGCGCAACTCATTTACTTTAAAAAAGGTACTCTTGATAAGACTCGATTACTCTCATGGTTTTCGCTAAATTTCTGTTTTAATAATTTAGAGTGTATAGGTTTCACAAAAATATTTATTTACATCATAATCAAAATAGAGATTTTACAAAAATTGTTCAAAATATTCACCATTTTCACACATACAAATATTTATAAGTCGAAGAAAATTAAAATGTATCCTTTCCATAATTTCTTCATCACCTCTAAGATTGTTTATTGCATCTTGAATACGTTGCCAGAGTTGTTCCTCATTTTCTACAGGTTCCCTGTAAACTGTGGATTTCAGATGTCCCCATAAAAAGTAATCCATCGGTGTTAGGTCTGGGGAACGTGGTGGTCAGTTTACAGGTGCGTCATTACCTCTGCCTATCCGTTTGTGTAGATATTGTTCATTCAAGTGGTTTCTAACGTTTAAAGAAAAATGTGGTGGAGCTCCATCTTGCATAAACCACATATCTCTCCGAAGTTGGAGAGGTAAATCTTCTAACAATTCTGGCAACGTATTTTGTAGAAAATCCAAATAATTTTCTTCAGTTAATCTTCGTGGAAGTATGACAGGACCAACAATGAAATTACCAATTATTCCAGCCCACACATTAATTTTGAATTCGTGCTGAAAATGGTTTACCTTTATTGCATGCGGATTTTCAACGGCATAAACATGTTCATTATGGGTATTAGTTATACCTCTTTTTGTAAAACCCGCTTCATCGGTAAAGAGAACCTTCTTGACAAAGTTTGGATTTCTTTCTCTTTGCATATTAACAAATCGACAAAAACCCAAACGAATTTGAGGATCATGGACTAATAATTCTTGTACTGGCTTCTTATGGTATGGATATAGCAATTGTTCTCTAAGCACTTTATGAACGACATCTTTACTTACTCCTAGTTCCCTTCCAATTCGTCTGGTGCTTAATTCTGGATCTTCTTCAACACGTTCTAAAATGTCTTCTTCAACTTCAGGAATCCTTACAAAACGTTCTCTTCCATTATCAACAGTGTTGGGAGCAAAGGAACCGGTCTCCCGAAGACGTCTCTCAACAGCAGCAAAAGTTGGGTGGCTAGGTACACGACGATTTGGAAACCTTTCAGAGTACACCCTGACACTCTCTCGAGCATTTCCTTCACAAAATCCTAATGTCAGTAACATATCGGTATATTCTGCATTGGTATATTGTACAGCCATATTAATAAACCACGCATTTGTTTTTTTAATTATTGTCAGATAGAACACTTTCAATCGTTAACAAGAGATTAGGTGTTGAAACTTGACAATATTTTTATTTAGATGAAACTATGGAAACCAACAATAAATGTTTTTGTAAACGTATTGCAGGCAAATAATTAATATTCCTCAAAAAATCGTACATGGCAAGAATCGAGTATTTTTGTTAAAAGTCTCGATTAGAGGTGTTGAAGAAGATATGAAAAAAGTACATTTTTATGTTTTTCATCGTATAAAATTTTGTCCTATAATAATACATAGGCGTAGAACTTGATTTTTAAATAATTGCACCTTTAAAAATTCTACGCCAATGGCAAAAAGGGGTTTGAGTATGAAATTTGGATTGGGTACTCATTTACTACAAAAAGTACCCTTGATAACACTCGATTTACTCTCTACTAGTTTTGACAAAGTTTGTATTTTAATAATTATTGTTTATGTTCTAAAATTACTAAAATGGAAATTTCGTCAAAACCATGAGAGTAATCGAGTCTTATCAGGAGTACCTTTTTTAAAGTAAATGAGTTGCGCAATCTAAATTTCATACT